ACAAGATTTAGATAAAGATGCCAAGGCTTAAGCAAAGCTGATATTGACGATGGACGCCTCATTATTTGTACATGTGAGAAATGCCAAAACCACCAGAGAATTATGGGAGTATCTGAAAAACATGTTTGATGACTCAGGCTTCACACAAAAAATATTTTTGTTGCGTACGTTGATATCATTGCGCCTTGAAAACTGTGATTCGATGGAGTCCTATGTAAGTTCAGTTATAGAAACCTCACAAAAATTACGACGTATAGGATTTTCCATTGATGACACATTGGATCTCTTTTGTTGGCGGGATTGCCTGACAGGTTTGCCCCAATGATCATGGCAATCGAACACTCAGGATTGAAGATAAGTGCAGACGCTGTGAAAACTAAATTGCTAGATATGCAGGTAGATAGTAGCATAGGCGCAAAAACAGGAGGTGCTTTTGCAGCAAATGGCAAGTTTAGAAACAACAGCAGAAATGGTAGCACTCATCCTAGGACATTTGATAAGAAAAACATCAGGTGTTTCAAATGTAAAAGAATGGGACACTTTATGAATAAATGTCCAACTAATGAGAATAAATCGAGTGAAAATGAAGGAGATTGCCACAGAAAAAGTAGTGCATTCAGCGCAGTTTTTATAAATGGCCATTACAACAATACAGATTGGTACGTGGATTCAGGAGCCATTTTACATATAACGTCAAGGAATGACTGGATAGAAAATACAGGCTCTGTGGGACTACAGGAAATCATGATTGCAGACAAATCAAAGGTACCAGTAAAAGATGTGGGTGAAGTTAACATCCAAACAATTGTAGATGACAAAAAACATGACATATGATAAAAAATGTACATTATTTTCCAGATATAACAACAAACCTTCTATTTGTTAGTCAGCTCATTAAAAATGGTAACAATGTGTTTTTTGATGGCAGTAGTTGTAAAATTCACAACAATCTTGATGAACTCGTGGCAGTAGCCGAGTTAAATGATAATGTATATAAGCTAGTATTTGACAAAGGTTCACAAGACTCTTTCGTTGCTTTAACAGTGTCAAATGAAGTATGGCATAGACGATTAGCACATATCAACTACAATGACCTGAAAGTAATGAAAAATGGCTCAGTTGAAGGTTTAAAAGTAGCAGGAAAAATGGACAATGACATTTTCTGCCAAGTTTATTGTGAAGGCAAGCAAGCAAGATTGCCTTTCAAGTCTAAAGGCAATAGAGCCTCAGCATGCTTAGAAATTGTTCATGCAGACCTTTGTGGATCCCTGGAACACAAATCCATAAGATGTTCGAAATATTTCTTGTTGTTTGTAGATGACTACAGTAGAATGAGCTTTGTATACTTTTTGAGCACAAAATATGAAGCCCTTATTAACTTCAAGGAATTCAAGAAGTTCGTAGAGAATCAGGTGGATCGAAACATTAAAGTTTTACTGACGGATAATGCTGGAGAATTCTGTGGTGCTCAATTTGAGCAGTTTCTCAAAAATTATGGCATCGAACATCAAAAAACCAACCCCTACACGCCCGAACAGAACGGCATGTGTGAACGCATGAATAGAACAATTGTTGAAAAAGCTAGATATGTTATTTGATGCTGGTTTGAACAAAAATTTTTGGGCCGAAGCAGTTAGTACCGCAGTGTATTTGAGAAATCGTAGTATTGCGAGTGGATTAAATAACAAGACGCCGTATAAGCTATGGACCAATAGAAAACCAGACATAAGTCACCTAAGAATATTTGGCAGTGAAGTAATGGTTCATATTCCCAAAGAAAAACGTACTAAATGGGACTAAAAGGCAAATAAGATGATTTTAGTTGGTTATGGACAAGGTGTAAAAGGATATAGATTGTATAATCCTGATAAAAATGAAGTCATAATAAGCCGCGGATGTGGTAATTAACGAAAGGGTTAGCAAAGAAGTTGATATTGTTATAAATAAAACACAAAATGGGAAGAAAGTTTTGCAATGGTTCCAGAAGCTGAAAATGCAGCTTCAGTGGGGGAAACTCCAGTTGATGATAATTTTGATGTCTTCGATTTTCATGAAGATGAATCAGAATTATAGGTACATCAAGCGACAATGATTTTCCAGCCTCAGTTCAAGAACCATTGAGAATAAGAAGATCTGAGAGAAAGATAGTACCAAGAACATTTGACGAGTAGGTACGTACTTAACTTACCTATGCTCTGAGATTCAACCGAACTACATTGTTTTCTTGCTTCCCTCTGTGTTTCCAACAATATCAAGCGCAAAAAATGAAAAATCCCAACAAAACCAACAGTAGAATACAACAAAACTGGAAAACAAGCACCGAAGCCAAGAAATTACAAAAGCAGATGACATCGACACGATTTGGGAAGTAATATCCGAAGCAATCATAGGGGTAGCACGAGTGACTGTGGGTGTAAATCCAAGAAACAAAAATAGAAACCACTATTTCGATCCGGAATGTGAGAGGGTACTCAAGGAGAGAAATAATGCAAGACTAGTAATGATGATTCTACTGAAGACAATAACAGTAAATTCAAACAACTAAGAAGAAAGGATAATGAACTACTAAGAAGGAAAAAAAGAGAACAACTAGATCAGGAGATGCAGGAGCGGGAAGTCGATGGGAGGAACATTATCAGGAAATTTTATAAGACAATAAGACCAAGAATGACTTAAGACCCAGAACCAAAAACATCATCAAGGACGACAACGGAGATCTAGTAACCAGGAAAGATCAAATGCTGCAAACATGAAAAGTATACTTCGAACAACTACTTAACCAGGGTTATACAGACTGAAGAACCGGCCAGATTCTAAACTGCAGAAATGCGAGAAGAATACCCTTCTCGAATAAAAATTGAGAATGCTTAAAAAAGTTGAGATCCGCGGTAAAGACACGATAACCGCCGAACTCTTGAAACATGGCGGAAACACAACCACATCCCAACTACACGAACTCATAAGAACTTTTTGTAAAAACGAGAAGATCCCAGAAGACTGGAAAAAAAGCATAATGGTCCCCTTACACAAAAAAGGAGATAGAATGAGATGCAAAAAATTATAGAGGAATAACGTAGCATACAAAGATCTATCCGAGAATAACTTCATTGACTGATGAGATAATAGCAGACTATCAGTGCGGTTTTCGGATAAACCGACCAACAACTGACCAACTATTCACAATCAAACAGCTGCTAGAAAAAAGCTGAGAATTTAATAGGCAGAGACACCAACTGTTTATCGATTTCCAACAGGCCTATGATAGTGTAAGAAGAGTTAAGATCGAAGACAATGGCAGAATTCGGTATACCTCCTAAGATTATAAGACTAACAAGAGTTTGTGGAAGTTTCCAGATGCAGAGTGAATGTTGGGAGTGAAATGTCGGACGTATTCAGTCAGGGTAAATACGGGATTGCAGCAGGGTTACACTAAACACAGGACATTACTTAAAAGTAATGACATCTAAACAGCTTCATTGGTACCATGATGCTCATAATGGCTATAGACTGTTTGACAAAGAAAAGCGAGAAGTAGATTCGAGAGATAAATAAGAAGATGCATCAGAAAAACAGCACTAAGACTACCTACATTATTAGAAAATGAAAGTAAAGAATAAACTGAGCAAACAAATTGAGATGAAAAAAAGATAAACGATGACAATGAAATTGAACACGAAGAAGAAAATGATGGATGAAGACATTCTTAAATTAAAAGAAACCGGGAAAGTTGTGGTAGACGAACAAATCGCTGCCAAAAGAAATATGGCATAGATTTTGACGTGACATTCAGCCTAGTAGTAAGTTCAAGAGCTCTTAAGAGTAATGTTTCGTCTTACAGTCAAAAATAACAATATAGTGGAGAAATTTGACATAACAGCTTTCCTAGATGCAGAACTCTACGCAGAGGTGTCTTTACCTAGACATATCGCCATATTGTAAAAATCAAAATGGTTAGACAACAGAATAGAAACATTGTGGTGAAAAGAGAAATCCATCAGGATATCCAATAATGTGATGGTATGTAAAAAAATTGAAATCCTGATTTTTCAAAAAAAAAAATTCCCAAAACTCCTTTTATATCAATAAAACAATAATCTTTGAACATACCTGAATTGAATAACACCATAATTATTGAATAAGCGAATTCCAATAGGCTTCAAAACAACGTTCAAAACAACACACAATTACCCATCAATAAGCACCAAAACAAATAAAATATTATGGTAGGTAACTACAGGTGTGGTAGGTACCTCGTATTGTGCGAGACTGATGAATGAATGTTGGCTTATCATCGATTCAAAGCCGACAATTAATAATTTATTAGACCAAGTGAATCATTCATATGGTTCCCCATATCACGAATTTTTATAGTTCCCGGGTAGGTACCTAATTAGTTACCTGCAAGATTGGTAAATAGGTACCTACCTAAGCATGTTTGCCTTCAGTCAAAATTTTTTGAAAATTATGATATTCAGGTATAAATAAATAAGATCATTTCTATTTTACTATTCCGGCACTCCCAAGCCACTGTTCTGGATACATGTTTATGAATGGAGAAGTTTCACAGATGTTGGGAACAAGAAAAATTATGAAAGTTTTTTAAAAGGGCGTTGATGACAATAGAAAAATATGCTTTCCTATATATGCAGATACATTTTGATTTGTGTTGATGTTTATAAAGTTTCTACAAATATATTTTCATTTTCTTATCGGGTAAATATTTGTTATTAGGTTGCTTGTTTTGCAACAAGAGGTTAACAAAGGTTAGTAATTGCATAATTTGCTAAACTTGATGTGATTATTTCATGATCATAGTTATTTTGTAGCTTTGTTTGATTCGTATATGCGTATCATTATATCAAATTCTCTTTTAAAATAAAAAGAAAAATACTCCACCTAGAGCTTGTGTATAGAGAAAGTTGCAGCAAAATAAAGTTAAAAGCAAACAATCAATAAAAATGCACGTAAAATCGCCAACTTATAAGATCAATGACACTTACCTCTTCGTATCCGGCACATTTCCATTGAGAAATACTGGGATGAGGACACCACCAAGTAGTCTTCGGGACGACCCTATTGATAACACTCCACTGACTGGATGCCGATGTGATATAGAGCCCCCGAAACTTGATTGCGCACACTATAGAACAAAACGTCGATCGATTCTTGGCGCCTAGCGTCGTTGGCTAAAATATACTACGTTTCCTCTCTGGATATTCGCATCGCCACTGTTGTGATGTTCGTTTGGAAACTGAACCGCAAAGTTGTTTTGTTTACAATGAGATAAATCTTATTAGATTCTTTCCTACCTACCACGTTCTAAATGTAAATAGAATTTTTGCTACGACCTCCCCTTTAATTTGTATAGGGTTTTAGACATTCAAATGAGCTTATTTTGAGACGAATTAATAATTACTTAATAAATAGATATGATGATATGGACGGAAAAAAAATTAGGTCGTCTGGTTGTTCAATGTCGAAATTTGTGATTGGAATTTGAATTAATTATTGCTACGATTTTGTATCTTTCATAGCACAAATAATTACTGGGAAGTCGATACGTGTAAAACATCTCGTAAATTGTTCATCAGAAGTTTTTCTCATGGCTAACATATAATCCAGGTATTGCCATCAGTCTTTTGGAAGTAGCGGAGGCCTTACGGAGTCCAAAAAGCAGAACCTTGAATAGGTGAAGAAAAGACTTCCAGTGGAAAACGCTGTCTTCTCTCTAACTTATTTGGGTGATGAACACCTGGCCAGTATCCGCTTTTGAAATGCAAAGTAGAAACCCAATTGTTATTGCTAATATTGTAAGAGTATCGTCAACTCTGGGTATTTGGTAAACTGTCTTTCTTAATCTACAATCGATGCAGAATCTGTTGGATCTTTCTTTGTTACTATATTACCTACAATTATTGATGACCATGGATTCGAAGACGCTTCAACAACTTCCTTTGCAAGCATACTGTCTACTAATGACTCCACTCCTTGTTGTTTAATTATGGGCAGTTTTCTATGTGGTTGGTTGAGCACTGCAAGTATTAGATTCATGCTTAATGTTCGGTTTACCAGTTTCGCCATTTTCACCCCTAAAAATATCTTTGTTGAGCATTCTTCAATTTCCTAGAAAAAAGATGTTACAAAAGATTTTTCAATCTTGTCTGAGACAAATGAGAGGTCACACACGTATATATCGGAGACGAAATAAGCAATACAAAAGGTGAGAAAGCAAGTAGAACAAAGGATATAAAAAGCAAATTTTCTAAAAATGATACATGGTACAATTAAAAAGGATAAAAGAAAAAAGAACACAAACAGACCAAACAATAATGAGGGACATAGAGAATTTACGCCATGATTCAAACTAGGGAGAAAAAAAAAAGAAATAAAACAGACATCGGGACAAGTAAAACTATAGGATACCAACAGGCATTGGAATGAAAGAAAAAATTTAGTGTGATGAAGTTTGGAAGATGGACTGTTCACTGTTGAAGGATCACGAACTGACAGAGGATTACAAATCAATAAGGAAGAAAAGGAAAAATTGTCACGAAAGTTGGGAAATGGATACTGGATATATTAAACAGAAGTAGAGGAAAAAAGAAAATGCAAGGGCAGGCTTAGCGCTACTACTAAAGTAAGAGGAAAATATATGCGAAAACATACTACAATAACTGTAGAAGAATATAATGAGGGAATATCAAGGAAAAGTGCCATGTATGGTCAAACGAGGAATAAAAAAATAAGAAAAAGAAGCTTCTCGCAGATCTTCAAGAGGAAGTAATATAAACACCAGTGATTGTAGCGCAATAGAAATATGTGACTGAATGATAGAGGAGGGAACAAAAACGCAGGATTTGAAAACTGTTTCGAGAGACACTAAAAACAAGTAGGAAGTAATGATGGGGAACGAATAATAGACATCTCCGTAGAAAATGAATTACAAATTAGAAATTTGCACTTTGCAAAGAAAATTGGTGTCTTAACAAAAGACCAACCAGGTGAGAAAAAAGTGGAAAACATAAAAGTAAAAGGAACAGCAGAAATTCAATAGGTAAGTATAAATAAACTTTATAGAAAAGAAATGAATAGAATGGAATTTACCTATAGAAGTTGTTGACAAAAACCAAGGAAATAACAGATAGATAATATATTGAATAGGAGAAGGGATGAAAATAGACGCAGAAAAAAATATAGTACCGGCACAAATACGAGGGCAGTCGAAGAAGACAAGAAAAGAAGGACTTTAAGAACATGAAAACAGCTTACAATTTAAACCAGAAACTGCCTTCTTTGTTACTCTACATAATATAAGGAAAGTAAGACAAAGAAAATTCAAAGATAATACACATTTTCACACCTATTTCAACAACTAGTGCTCAATCTACAGAAAACTTATAAAGTTAGCCATAGATTTACATTACTCCAATCGTCTTGCAAATGCATCCAACAAACAAAGAGAAAGTTGATCGATTATAAACGATATTCGTAAGGAAAGCCGTTTTTCCTCAAGCATCAATGATAGCGACATGTCTCCTGAATCAGTCAACAAATTTCACTGTTCTATGGCAGAAAACCTGACCAAAAATATTATTCAACACACTGATCCACTTAATTTTCTTTCAAATAATGCTGAGGTCACTAATTCCTTTTACTTTTTTCCTACTACCTTGGAAGAGTTAAAACAGGTACCTATTAGAAATAAAAAAAAACTCTGGGGATTTTATATACCTATTTAAATTAAATATTGCTTCCCGTAAGCTACTTAATTTTTTAAATAAAATTGGATACTGAACAATAATCACATTTAAACAATTTATTTGTTTCAATGTTAATGAACAACAAGTTCGCCATCCGGTCAATAAATTATTGTTTATAATTCCAAAACTTGGTGTTTTTATTGAAGGGGTTAAGCGTCAAATAGGTATTGGATTTGTTTTACCTTTTCAGATTTTTGCCTTTATCTTTCTTAATAATAGCTAATTATATGAATACTGTCTAGTTTGGCTATTCTTTGATAACCAAAATAATTTTATACAAACTTGTGGCGCCCTCTTTTTACTGTACCAACTTCAAGGACCACCCCAAGCTAAAGAACCACTAAGCATAGTCGAGCACAATTATGAGCATTCTTTTGTTCCGACAAAAGAGCGTGACAAGTTTACCGTTTCTAAAATGCATGTATGTTACCTAATTTTTTTAAATGAAAGTCCCTCTTTATATTTATTGTAAATAATTCAGCGTCCCAACATTACTAAAATCCCCAAATGCAAAACCTCCAATTGACTTGATTTTCGAAATATAGCAACACATCTTTTCTATTGAAATGTGTGAAAACGCTCTCTCATTTCAGAGCACGCTTGAAAAAATGTTATAATGCGTAATCAAGATTTATAGGAGGACTGATAGGCCCACGTAGGAAATATTGTACATTTTTCTGGAGCCTGTTCTGAAATACAAGATGGTTTCCATAACATTTCAACAAGAAAGCTGTATTGCGATATTTCAAAAACCAAGTCAAATGGAGATTTGGCATTAAGGGTTTTCAGTAATGTTGGACGCAGAAGTAATTACAATAAAAAAAGAGAGGGACTTCCTTTTAAAAAAAGTAGGTTACATACGGCATCTTAGGAACGGTGAAGTTGACAATATTGCAAATACCACTATTGAATCGGCAATTCTCAAAAAACCACAGGTAGGTAATATGGTACATATTTCCTAAACGAGTTCTGAAATATTAGGCCGTTTCCATACATAACGACTGCCCTGTATAAGTGTATATTTATCGTGATTTTATTTTTAAAATCATTATTGGTGCTTTATCAATGAGAACTTTATGTAGGTACTTTGGACAATGAAAGCTCTTTTGAATTCGAATATCCAAGGATAAAAAATAATAGCTGAAGGGGAAAATATCGAGAATGACGACAATAGTACCTATTTACATATACAGGGTCTCCGGAATAACCTGAAGGAAGTACATGAGGATTTTGGAAACCATTGATGTAGTAATGTTCTGGATCACTTCTTCGCATTTCAGTTACAAAATTATGAAAGATTCCCAGCTGATTTCTTTTCGAGTAAATATCTTACGAAGTCTACTGCGGATTACCTACTTTATTTGTATTTATCTGTATTTTTGATCTATAGGTATGTAGGTACAGATCTTTTCACGAGCGTTCATACTTTTGACATCGATCGAACACATCATAACTTGAAAAAAAAGGTTTGTCGTAGATTCATTCATATATGAAACATTCAATTTTAGTGACCAATTAAAATGAATGACTTCTGGTTCAAGAACCGACGAACTTTTTTGAAGCCATTGATTTGTTTCAGTCAATTTCTTTTTTTTAAAAAATGAAGGCAAAAAGTATGAACCCTCGTGAAACAAAGATTATGTATGATGGAAGGATAAAAAAAAAGAACTATAAATAACCAGACAGGAATAATCAGAAATGTTTGAAACTATTATAGGGGAGTTGCAGAGTTGCTTTCTCAATCCTCTAAATATTCTCACTAGAGACGAAACTGTAGAAGAAATTACGAAAAACACGGAAAGTTAAAGTAACGCTGTAGAGTTCAAAGTTCCAGTTCACTGATTTTTCAAAAAACTGCAAGTCGTTCCTTTTATAATGTCAAAAACTCTGTAGCGTGATAATATGAAGTAGGCATGTTTGATGTTTGCGTACATGGAAGTGGATTGAAAATAACGTGAAAAGTTTGGAATGAAAATAAAATAAGAAGACATAAATGCCTCATGCTGACACTTGGCGGATTTCTTTCATTCCACATGGAACTACTTAACGATCCTTCAATTTTCTAGGAGTTTCGGATAAACCATCAATTCTCGATCTTTCCGTAATTCACTATATTATTGCATCGATGTTAAGTTTAATTCTCAACACTTCTGGAACACGGGCTTAAAGGATATCTTCGTTATTTTAAAGCCTAAGTAGGGACGATAATTCCTATTTGCGGTTTTGCCAGATTGTGTAAAATATCCACAGGCGACGTCAGATCCTGTATGATAATATCAATATTTGACTCTTATCTGAAAGGCAAATGATCGATTTCCGTTGATTTCTTTAATTATTATACATACAATCAGTTAAAACGCAAAACGATTATAGCGTACTTGTTATGTTTCTTGTTTCCATTGAATAAT